CTGGGTATGCTTAGCTTGGAGAAAAGAAAGTTAGAAGAAAATATGACAGCGATGTTCAAAATATATGAAATAATGTCATATTGAGGAGGAAGTAAACTTATTTTCTGCTGCTCCAGGGAAGAAAATACAAAGCAACAAAGTATGGGAAAACAGATTCCACTTACATATAAGGAGAATATATATATATATATACATACACACACACACACACACACACACACATACATACATACACATACACACACACACACACACATTGATGAGAAGAGCTGTTTAACAGTGAAATATGCTATTTGATAATTATAAAAATATTTGATAAGAGGTTGGACTGGAAGATCTTTGTGGTCTTTTCCAATTCTATGACTGACAATTCTCCAACCCCTTAATGTGCAAGTGACCAGAACTGTATTTGTGCCCCATTGTCTGCAAGTAATTGTTTTCATTCCTGTAAATCCTATATGGACCCCTACCCAGTGGCTTGTGGACTGGCATCAGTTCACAAATTACTACTTTTGGCAAAAACTATTTTACAAGAAATTCAAGTAAGCAAGTGCTGGATGAAATCCTCTGGCTCGGTGAGGGATTGAAACATTCAATGCCGGCTGCCTTACATAAACGAAACGCCGAATCTCTTTCAACAGCTTATGAAAAGAGAGAGAAACAGAATGATTTTTCAGTCCCACTTCCCTTGGAATCCCAGCTTAGCTTCTCCCTTTGTCATTTATGTTAAGGGCAGGAACAATTATGGTTGATGTAAAGACAGATGATTGATGTGAAGGAGAGAAAGGATAGCCAGAAAGAAGGAAGTGCAATGCTACGGCCAACAAAAGCAGAGCAGAAAAGAAGGCCAGAAAAGGAGAGGGGGGAAGAAAAGGTAGGAATCTTGGTGGTATAGAAAAAAAGTATGGCTTCCAGCCAGCAGTGCACATACATAGTAATGTGAGGAGGGGGCAAGATGGGAAGTGATCTAAAGCAAGAATGGAGGAAAAATGCAGAAACAAGGGGACAACAACTGGGGCAGGATGAAGAAAACAGTATTTTTCTCCATCTCTTCACCATTACACTTCCTCCCCACTCAAACAAATCAAGGAATATGTGAAGACACAAACATAAATATGAGAAAGTTAACCAATCATGAAGGGAAAGGGGGAAAGATACAACCATTGTCTCCCTTCCCCTTAAAAACGAAGAAGAAAAGGGAGAAAGGAGGAGAAAAGGGTAAATTCAGACATATAAAGAGAAGTGGAAAATCAGATAATAGAAACATGAAACTACATACATAATGAAGTAACAGCCACCAATCTGGGGGTTAGAGACAATATCAATTTTTCTCTTCACCTTCCTGTTCACCAAAAAGAAAAACAAGGAATTGAAAAGAGAAAGACATATTGCTTGGCTGAAAAGAGTGACTGTTATCAGTCAACAAAGCAGGGTGGAGGAAAGAAAGAAAAGAGGAGAACTATGTTAAAATCTGATGGCTGAAGGAAGGAAGGGAGGGAGGCTGGTTGGTTTCCTTTTCTCTAAAAAAAAAAAAACATTAAGGGGAGGGGAACATCATTATCATCCAATGGCTTAAAGAAACAAGGAAGGAAGGTTTCCCCTTTTCACAGATTCAAGAAGGGTGAGGAAAACCACATTATAACCCAATGGCTTGAAAAAATAAAGCTTTGAAAAACATAATAAAGAGTCATTCCATGATATTGCTACTAGTTCTGATATTAATCTCATTCAATTGCCTTTTACAATAAAGCTACATCAAAGCATATTGCAGCAGGGGAAGAAATTCATTTGGATTTATAATACTAAAATCCTATAAAACCAGCATACCTTTTTAAATTAAAAAGTGTTGATGTTGGTCTAATTTGCAAAGCGCTTAATGGCTTTTATTGTATATTTGTACGTGTACATTTATTGATTTTGCATTGTCGAACCTTGTATAGTTTTAATATGTTAGCTGCCTTGACCCCCATTACCAGTGGAAAGACTGGATGATATTATTATTATTATTATTATTATTATTATTATTATTATTATATTTCTTAATTGTCTGTCTCCAAGGACTGAAGTGAGGAAAACCAACATTGAAACACTATACAGACGAGCAATTCAAAACAGACAATGCAGTTAAAATATCAGTTCAAAAACACTTATTTAATCAAAATATATTGAAACAACTCATAATTCCTCATCTGTCTTTATTTATAAATATAAATGAAAATATTGATGATCTTCAATTTTTCATACATGGATTCATCTCTCTTCGCTTCCCTATTTCTCACAACAAAGGCCACAAAGATGAAGATTTGTCTTTTCTTGTGCCAGGAGGGGAAAGGAAGCAAGATGAACACAGGCCTGCAAAACTGAGTCAATGTTATTACTTCAATGTTAATTTACATGTTATTGGTACTGGTTTTTAAATGTTTGTTCTCTTCTTTTTAAGATCTGTATTTTAATGGTCCTCTGTTTTTTCTAGGTATTTTAACTACATAGAATCTTGAGGAGAGGCAAGTAAAGAACAACACTTATTATCACATAGTCATTATTTTACTCATTTATATTTATAAACTATGATTTCAGGGTTATTATTTTGATATTTATTAATATATTTATATTCTATTCTATCACAAAGGGGTTTCAATAGTTATCGTATTTCTTCAATTATAAGACACCATCGATTGGAAGACCAATTCAAATTTCAATACCACCACCAACAAAAATACATGTGATACATCTGTGATACTAAGACGCACCCCATTTTTAGAGATGTTTATATAGCAAAAAACGACGACTTAGAACTTAAGATATATAGTAAACTCTTTTATAATCTTGTTTTTAATTTACAATACCATAGCATCATATACAATATATGTAGGAAATATTATGTGTAAAATCTTTTCCAAAGAAAAATAGAAAAGTAATTAAAACATCAGACGCCTTTGTGGCTTTTGGCCCACCTTGTATTATATTGATATTATATTATAAGAATAACATTATATAATATATTTATTATATATTATTAGCATATTATTAGCATTTTTTATTATGGGTCCCCTGGTGGCGCAGCGGGTTAAACCGCTGAGCTGCTGAACTTGCTGACCGAAAGGCTGGTGGTTCGAATCTGGGGAGTGGGGTGAGCTTCTGCTGTTAGGCCTAGCTTCTGCCAATCTATCAATTCAAAAACATGCAAATGTGAGATCAATAGGTAGCGATTCTGCGGGAAGTTACCGCTGCTCCATGGACTATTGGACTGGAACCGGAATATGACTGTGGGTGGCATGGCTTAATAATGGTTGTAATGTTTTTAACTGTTTTAATGTATATCAATTTTAATCTTGTCGAAGGCTTTCATGGCCAGAATCATTGGGTTGTTGTAGTTTTTTTGGGCTATATGGCCATGGTCTAGAGGCATTCTCTCCTGACGTTTCGCCTGCATCTATGGCAGGCGAAACATCATAGAAACCTCATCTACTTCTGAGGATGCTTGCCATAGATGCAGGCGAAATGTCAGGAGAGAATGCCTCTAGACCATGGCCATATAGCCCGAAAAAACTACAACAACCCAATTTTAATCTTAATTTAAATGTTTATGTTAATTGTATGTTGTTTTTAAAGCACTGAATAGTTGCTTATGTGTAAAGTCGCCCTGAGTACCCTTCGGAGTTGATAAGGGCGGGGTATATAGTAAATACAATAAATAAATATTATTATATTATATATTACTAGTCTTATTTTACAATTATCTTACTACAATAATATTATCATATATATATATATATATATATATATATATAAAATCAGCATTACTTTATTATTATATTATATATTATAATATACTATAATATAATTATATATTGTAATATACTACGTCTTATTTTACGATCTTTTTATTAGTATTATATTCATTAATTATAAATTATCACTATTATTATATAATACATTATCAGTCTTATTTTTCAATTATTATATTATTTATTCTATTATATTCTTCTTCTTCTTAGGCGATCCCTCGTTTTCCAAGGATGATTGTCTTCCAATATTCTTGTGGGTCCGTATGTGGCTGTGGAGCCCTATTCTTGCTCTGCATCTTCTCCCACAGTGAGGGCATTGGTTTCCAGGTGGAAGGCGGTCTCGGTCGGGGTTGGCTTGACGCACCTTCCTCTTGGCACGCTTCTCCCTTTCGCCCTCCATTGGTGCCTCTTCAAATTCTGCAGCACTTCTGGTCACAGCTGACCTCCAGCTGGAGCGGTCAAGGGCCAGGGCTTCCCAGTTCTCAGTGTCTATGCCAGAGTTTTTCAGGTTGGCTTTGAGCCCATCTTTAAATCTCTTTTCCTGCCCACCAACATTCCCTTTTCCTTTCTTGAGTTCGGAGTAGAGCAACTGCTTTGGGAGACGGTGGTCGAGCATCTATTATATATATATATATATATATATATATATATATATATATATACTATTAATCTTACTTTACAATCATATTATTATTATATTCAGATATTATCAGGATTATAATATTATATGCATTATTTTACATTTTATTATATTATATAATATTAGACTTATTTTACAATCATTTTATCATTATTAATCATATATTACCAGAATTATAATATTATAATATATATTATACTTATTATATATTATTATATTATTATATTATATACTATCAGTATTATTTTGCAATTATTATTTTATTATTATTATATACTATTAGTTTTATTTTACTGTCATTTTATACTAATATAGCACGAAGGTTGTGTGTTAGAGATGACCAGCAGCATTCTTTCCAAATTAGGGTAGGGGTCCCTTTAAGAGGCCTGGTCTGTTGATGTGCTTGGCCAGCCTCGGTCTTGCCTTTCTGCTCAGGCGGCGGATCCTGAGGGCAAGCCTCCACTCCAACCTCCACAGGCGCCCGGAGAGAGCCTCTTCCTCCGAAGCCTCCCCTTCGCGGCGTTTCAAGGGCCTTCCCTTCCCACCCGCCGCCTGCCTGCCTCGGGACTCACCTTCCACTCCTCCCAGAGAGACACCATCGCTTCACCGGCAGCAGCCTTGGCGTTTGTTTGATGGAGCCCGCTGACGGCAACCAAGATGGCCGCCCGGAGGCGCGCTCTGCGCAAGCGCAACGCAGCCGCCGCGGTACCCTGGGGGATGTAGTCTCTGCTTCGTCCTAACACGCATGCGCTCTTCTCTCTTTTCCAAAGAGAGAAGCGCTCCTGCCACTGTGGACGGACAAGGGAATGGTGACGTCAAGGAATCTGTGGCCGGAATGAGGCTAAAGAGGGAGGGCTACCACCGTACACTTCGGGTTCGCAGTCGATGTAGGCAGGCTCTGTTCACAAATAAGAAGACTATTGAGGATGATAATAATGATAATAGTAATGATTATAAGAATAATAAAGATAATAATAATTATCATAATAATAATGATGATCATAATATTGATAATAATACTAATAATAATGAGAATAATATTGATTATATTAAAATATAATATAATATTAGATTATAATATAATATAATTAATATATTTATAATATAATGTAATTAATATAATAATATAATATAATTATAGAATAATAAAGATAATAGTAATTATAATAATTATGATGATTATAATATTGATAATAATAATAATGAATAATATAGATAATATTATAATATATAATTAATATAATTTATAATAATGTAATTAATATAATAATATAATATAATTATAGAATAATAAAGATAATATTAATGATATAATAATTATGATGATCATAATATTGATAATAATAGTAATGATAATAATATATTGATAATATAATTATAATATAATATATAATATATTATTATAATAAATATAGTAATGTATAATATTAATATATATATAAATATTGATAATAATATTAATATAAATATATGGATAATATTATAATATAATATAATATAATAATAATATAATGTAATTAATGTATTTATAATATAAAATATAATTAATATAATTATAGAATAATAAAGATAATAATAATGATAATAATAATTATGATGATCATAATATTTATAATAATAGTAATAATGATAATAATATTGATAATATAATATAATTAATATAATTATAACATAATGTAATTAATATAATAATATAATATAATTATAGAATAATAAAGATAATAGTAATTATAATAATTATGATGATGATCATAATATTGATAATAATAGTAATGATGATAATACTATTGATAATATAATATATTATAATTAATATAATTATAATATAATGTAATTAATATATTTATAACAGCTGAACTGTTTAAAATCTTGAAAGAGGATGCTGTCAAGGTGATGCATGCCATATGCCAACAAATATGGAAAACACAAGAATGGCCATCAGGCTGGGAAAAATCAACTTATATCCCCATACCAAAAAAGGGAAATGCGAAAGACTGCTCAAACTTCCGTACAGTGGCCCTTATTTCTCATGCCAGTAAGGTAATGCTCAAGATCCTGCAAGGAAGACTCCAGCAATACATGGAGCGAGAGTTGCCAGATGTTCAAGCTGGGTTTAGAAAAGGCAGAGGAACGAGAGACCAGATTGCCAATATCCGCTGGATAATGGAGAAAGGCAGGGAGTTTCAGAAAAACATCTACTTCTGCTTCATTGACTATTCTAAAGCCTTTGACTGTGTGGATCATAATAAACTGTGGCAAGTTCTTAGTGGGATGGGCATCCCAAGCCACCTTGTCTCTCTCCTGAGGAATCTGTACAAGGACCAAGTAGCAACAGTCAGAACTGACCACGGAACAACAGACTGGTTCAAGATTGGGAAAGGCGTACGGCAAGGCTGCATCCTCTCACCCAACGTTTTTAACTTGTATGCAGAACACATCATGCGATGTGCGGGGCTGGATGAATGCAAAGCTGGGGTGAAAATTGCTGGAAGAAACATTAACAACCTCAGATATGCAGATGACACCACTCTGATGGCCGAAAGCGAGGAGGAGCTGAGGAGCCTTCTAATCAAGGTGAAAGAGGAAAGCGCAAAAGCCGGGTTGCAGCTAAACATCAAAAAAACCAAGATTATGGCAACAAGAATGATTGACAACTGGGAAATAGAGGGAGAAAATGTGGAGGCCGTGACAGGGTTTGTATTTCTAGGCGCAAAGATTACTGCAGATGCAGACTGTGGCCAGGATATCAGGAGACGCTTCCTTCTTGGGAGGAGAGCAATGTCCAGTCTCGATAAAATAGTAAAGAGTGCAATTTGTTGTATTTGAGATCGAGCTGCATCTCCTCCCTGGACAACCAGCCAAGATGGACAGGGATCAAGAAGGTTGGTTGTCCTCCTTCCTTGCCGCAACAGCTTGTCCACACCAGCAGTACTCGCCAAAGCAAAGATTAATAAATGTGCTTTCTGCTCTGCTACAGAACATCTCTCCCAACAGACTAAAAACATAAAAATAATGTAAGTACACGTCTGGAAATATCTTTAAAGGAGGGGAAAACGCAACAGCAAGTACCTATTTGAATCCTGATTGCCTCATATTGAAGAAGGACTAATCATAATACCATGTAGTGGGGTCTAGAAAAGCTTTCTCACAGTTCATATGAACCACAAGTTTTACTTAAAAACTCATAACTAAATGGGAGAAACCAATTCAATGATTCAAAGGCTTGGATCTGGATATTCTATTATACCCATTTTTTTATTGCAAAAGGAATACACACTTTTTGTAAGATACGACTTTTTCCTTAGTTCGTTGCTAAAACAATGGCTAGAAAACAAAATGGAAGAGAACTGGAGATCCAGTTTTAAAATGTCATGGGGAAAAAAATAAAAGAAAAAAAGCCCGCAGACAATAAAAATTGCAGTACAGACTTCTAAAAGGAGGGTTTCACCACATTCCCAGCAATGAATTCAAGATTTTCTAATAATAATAATAATAATAATAATAATAATAATAATAATAATAATAATAGGTGACAAAAGGATTACAAAGAAACAACTGGAAAAGCTGACACGAAATGAGGATTTAAAAATCGAACTGCAAAGACTCTGGCACAAATCAGTAAAGGTGGTCCCAGTGCTGATTGGCACACTGGGTGCAGTGCCTAAATACCTTGGCCTGCACTTAAACACAATTGGCGCTGACAAAATTACAATCTGTCAGCTGCAGAAGGCCACCTTACTGGGATCTGCACGCATTATTCGCCAATACATCACACAGTTCTAGACACTTGGGAAATGTCCAACGTGTGATCCAATACAACAGCCAGCAGAGTGTCTGCTGTGGACTCATTGTGTTTCAAATAATAATAACAACAATGACACAATTTGAGGATTTAAAGATTGAACTGCAAAGACTCTGGCACAAGCCAATTAAGGTAGTCCCAGTGGTGATTGGCACACTGGATGCAGTGCCTAAAGACCTTGGCCTGCACTTAAAAACAATTGGCGCTGACAAGATTACCATCTGTCAGCTGCAAAAGGCCACCTTACTGGGATCTGCGTGCATTATTAGCTGATACATCACACAGTCCTAGACACTTGGGAAGTGTCTGATGTGTGATCCAATACAACAGCCAGCAGAGTGTCTGCTGTGGACTCATCTTGTTGTGTGATGGCGCGTCTGTCCCCACTTGTATGTGAATGTATATCTAAATTGTTTGGTTACCTATAGCTGTCAATCAATGTTATTTTGCACTGGTTGAATTGCTCCCCTTGCTCAATTGTTTGACTCCACCCCTTCCTGGGGAAAAGGGCAGTGCTTTCTTTTCATTCTACCATCAGACAACTCAGTGGATGGACGTGAGAAAGGCTTGGCTCTAAAGCCGTCAGTCAAGTCATCTCTCATCACCAATTCTTAAGTTTGTACTCTTAAGATTCATACATCATGCCCAGCTCACCTGGACGACGTTGAGGAATCTTAAGCGCCTTCAAACCAGTCCTTTGGCATCGAGAGGAAGACTTTGTGCCTTCAATATAGGTCATTGGACTGGGGTTGTGAATGTTCAGGCTTTCACAGCCATTGAGAAAGAGGGAACTTGGAAAGCTTCTCAGCTGGAAAACTCCTTGGACCCAAGACTTCAGAGACTGTAACATATATTTTCTTTACCCCTTTTGAAACATCAAGTTTATGCCTAAGAAAGATAACTCAGTGTGAACAATAAAGCCTATTTCAAGTTATCTATAGTGTCTTGATCCTTGAGAGTTCCAGTTCTCTAAAGGAGGGCGAGAAGCAATCCCCTGGGGAAGAGATGCCACGTCCATGTTTCTTTCACTAAGATCTATAGCCCCCAGGCGCGACGGCACATGTTGTATTTCAAATAATAATAACAATAATAATGTAATGTTCACTGCATTGATTCTAAGGGCACAGAATCTGTGGAACTCTATATGATATTAACTAAACCTGACCACGCTTCGCTGTGGCCCAGTCTGATATGACATGAATGAGATAGTAAATAAAAGTGTGAACCACCCTGAGTGCCCTTCGGGTTTGAGAAGGGCAAGCCAAACTAGCAAGGGCGTTAGACCCCTTGCTAGTTTGGCTCGGAGTTTCGGCCTGGAGTGCTACCAATATGCGGATGATACCCAACTCCTTCTGCGCCTGGTGGGAGGCGGTCTCGGTCGGGGTTGGCTTGATGCACCTTCCTCTTGGCACGCTTCTCTCTTTCACCCTCATTCGTGCCTCTTCAAATTCTACAGCACTGCTAGACACAGCTGACCTCCAGCTGGAGCACTCCAGGGCCAGGGCAGTGCCTGGGGCAATCTTTTATTGAGAGGTTATTAGATGTCCTTGTTTGTTTCCTCTCTGTTGTTTTGCTGTTGTAATTTTATAAACCCTTTTTCCTAGTTCTAACAGACCTCACTACCTCTGAGGATGCTTGCCATAGATGCAGGCGAAACGTCAGGAGAGAATGCCTCTAGAACAATAATAATAATCATAATAATAATAAACTTTATTCGTACCCCGCTACCATCTCCCAAGGGACTTGGTGCGGCTTACATGAGGCCGAGCCCAAATACAACAATACAAGCAATAATAACGACAATACAAGCAATTACAATAAAACATGGACAATAAAATAATGAAATATTAACAATAAGACAACACACAATTAAAAACTAGATAAATAGGATAGGTAGACAGGTAGAACATGGCCATATAGCCCGAAAAAACCTACAACAACCCAATATATTATATAATTAATACATAAATTAGATATATTCGTTATATCTAATAGATATAATTGAATTATACAATAATATAATAACACAATAAAAATATAATAGAAAAATAAAAGTGTTGTCAAATTGCATTAATTCTACAGTGCAGTACTATATATTATACAGTAAATATATGTATTAGATATATTAATTATATATAATACAATCTAATAATAAAATAATATCTAATACTGTGAAGTTGCAATTCCAACAATAGACAGGGTATAGGGTCTCTAACTTTAAAGATCCCACCGCTGCCACCAATTGTACAGGTGTGGATGATTATGGATGTAATTAATCTCAGGCCTCAATTGTGTATAAGAATTTGTTATAGGGGAGGCCAATTATTACTTGTAAATTAAGGTAACTGCCACCAACGTGAGGTATTGGAGGTACTACCGATGAGATCTGGCTCCCCAGACGCAGATTAATGGAGATGAGACGGTCTTCAACAAAAGGTAACAATTTTATTATGTACAAAGTGTATGGTTGCAGGCTGTTAAATAACTTGGAATAACTTATAGAACTTTGAATGTAACTTGGTTTGTAATACAGTCCATTCTTCTAGATGACACAACTCGTGATTAACTTTTACTGAGGTGAAGCACTTTAATAAACAATGTTTCCTAATGTGAATAGCCTTCCAATTTGATCTTTTCTTGATCAAATCCCTGATCTGTAGTCCTTCCCTGACTAGTGATCTTATCGAGCTTCCTTTAGTCTACTCTAACTAAAGAAACTGGCTAGGTTTCTCCCTTTAGCCTTCCTAGACTGAAAAACCTTCAGCTATTCACACACACTGACTCTCCACTCTCCACTCTCAACTGCCAACTCCGACTGCCCCTTTTCCAAAGACGCACATAACATCCTCTGCTTGGCTCCGCCCACTTCTCACTCTCTTGCCTGGTCTCTTTGGCAACGCTTACTGTGGATTCAAACCAGATAACTCTAGTTTCAGCTACTGTTACCAACACAAATATATTCTAACAGTTAAACATATACATAGTATCAATGACTTCTGCACAAATACAAACAACAACACTTTTATTACGGTCTATAGATCCATCTGTAAAATGAACAGTCATTATAAATTCATTATACCTAAAACATCTAATCAAAGTGCATTAATTCTACAGTGTTGCTTTATATTACTTAGTAAATATATTTCTATATTTATACATAGGTATTTATATACATGCATATAATACAGTAAATATATGTATATTTATTTTATTTATTTGTCGTGTCAGAGCAGCCAGTCCATTATATTACATTTCTAACAGAACAAAGCAAACAAACAGAAAAATACACAACTTGTGAGTTTGGTAGCTGGTTAAATGTCCTTTGACCAGTATCTGGCCACTTGGAGTGCTTCCGGTGTTGCTGCAAGAAGGTCCTCCATGGTGCATGTGGCAGGACTCAGGTTGCATTGCAGCAGGTGGTGAGTGGTTTGTTCTTCTCCGCACTCGCATGTCGAGGATTCTACTTTGTAGCCCCATTTCTGAAGGTTGCCTCTGCATCTCGTGGTGCCAGAGCGCAGTCTGTTCAATGCCTTCCAAGTCGCCCAGTCTTCTGTGTGCCCAGGAGGGAGTCTCTCATCTGGTATCAGCCATTGGTTGAGGTGCTGGGTTTGAGCCTGCCACTTTTGGACTCTCGCTTGCTGAGGTGTTCCAGCGAGTGTCTCTGTAGATCTTAGAAAACAATTTCTAGATTTAAGTCGTTGACGTGCTGGCTGATACCCAAACAAGGGATGAGCTGGAGATGTCACTGCCTTGGTCCTTTCACTATTGGCTGCTACTTCCCGGCGGATGTCAGGTGGTGCAATACCGGCTAAGCAGTGTACTTTCTCCAGTGGTGTAGGGCGCAGACACCCGTGATAATGCGGCATGTCTCATTAAGAGCCACATCCACTGTTTTAGTGTGGTGAGATGTGTTCCACACTGGGCATGCATACTCAGCAGCAGAGTAGCACAGCGCAAGGGCAGATGTCTTCACTGTGTCTGGTTGTGATCCCCAGGTTGTGCCAGTCAGCTTTCGTATGATATTGTTTCTAGCACCCACTTTTTGCTTGATGTTCAGGCAGTGCTTCTTGTAGGTCAGAGCACGGCCCAGAGTGACTCCCAGGTATTTGGGTGCGCTGCAATGCTCCAGTGGGATTCCTTCCCAGGTAATCCTCAGAGCTCGGGATGCTTGTCTGTTCTTGAGATGAAAAGCACATGTCTGTGTTTTAGATGGGTTAGGGATCAGCTGGTTTTCCCTGTAATAGGCAGTAAGAGCACCTAGAGCTTTGGAGAGCTTCTGTTCAACCATCTCAAAGCTCCCTGCTTGAGTGGTAATGGCACGATCATCAGCATAGATGAAACTCTCTGTCCCTTCTGGCAGTGGCTGGTCATTTGTGTAAATGTTGAACATGGATGGAGCAAGCACGCTCCCCTGAGGCAGGCCGTTCTTCTGTTTCCGCCATCTGCTTCTCTGGCCCTGGAACTCAACAAAAAAGCTCCTGTTTTGTAGCAGGTTTCCTATGAGGCGGGTGAGGTGGTCGTCCTTTGTGATATTATACATTTTTCTCAGGAGGAGGCGGTGGTTCACAGTATCATAGGCTGCTGACAGGTCTATGAAGACAGCTCCTGTGATCTGCTGCCTTTCAAAGCCATCTTCTATGTGCTGAGTCAGGTTCAGCACTTGCGATGTGCAGCTTTTGCCTTTCCTGAAGCCAGCTTGCTGTGGGATCAGACAGGGGTCTATTTTTTCCATAATTCTATGCAAAATAAGTCTCTCCAGAACTTTGTAGAGGTGGCACAACAGGGAGATTGGTCTGTAGCTTTTTGGATCATTACGGTCTTTGCCTGGCTTCAAGATGGCGATGACTCTTGCTTTCCTCCAGATTTTGGGGATCTGACAGGATGCAGTGCAGTTGTTCATCAGCTCCAGCAGCCAGCGCCTTGCTTTGGGGCCAAAGTTCTTGATTTGTTCCATCCGTAGATCATCCAGGCCAGCTGCTTTGCCATTTTTACATTTATTGAGAGCCATGTCCAATTCAGTAGATGTAAAGGGTTCATGGAGGTTGTTGTTCTCAATCTCTGGTTGTCTGGCTATTGGTTTCTTTCCTACTTTGGTGGCAAGGTTGGGTTTCCCATTCTTCAAGAGTTGGTGTGCTATCTGATCTGCCTTTATGTTGGCATGGGTATTAGTTTGTGAGGGGTCATTGCTCAACCGTCTTAGCAGCCTCCACGCCTTCTGGTTGCTCCTGCCCATGTCGACTTCTGTTGACATCAGGCTAGCCCCCTCCCTGTTGATATTCCGCAGGAAGTTAAAGACCTGGCTGTTTAAGAAGGCATTTGATCAAGAAGTGCAATGACTGGAATTTGACCATAGGAATGGAACAACGGAAATGATATCGGATTGTGGGTTTGACGATGAGACGACTCGGAATGGCTTTTGTAGTAATGTTGATGTTTTGATAAGATGTAGATGATGGGCCAAAACTAACAAAATGAAGTTCAACAGTGACAAATGCGAGATACTCCACTTTGGCAGAAAAAATGAAATGCAAAGATACAGAATGGGGGACGCCTGGCTCGAGAGCAGTACGTGTGAAAAAGATCTTGGAGTCCTCGTGGACAACAGGTTAAACATGAGCCAACAATGTGATGTGGCGGCAAAAAAAGCCAATGGGATTTTGGCCTGCATCAATAGGAGCATAGTGTCTAGATTCAGGAAAGTAATGCTACCCCTCTATTCTGCTTTGGTTAGACCACACCTGGAATATTGTGTCCAATTCTGGGCACCACAATTCAAGAGAGATATTGACAAGCTGGAATGTGTCCAGAGGAGGGCGACTCAAATGATCAAGGGTCTGGGGAACAAGCCCTATGAGGAGCGGCTTAAGGAGCTGGGCATGTTTAGCCTGAAGAAGAGAAGGCTGAGAGGAGATATGATAGCCATGTATAAATATGTGAGAGGAAGCCACAGGGAGGAGGGAGCAAGCTTGTTTTCTGCTTCCTTGGAGACTGGGACGCAATGGAACAATGGCTTCAAACTACAAGAAAGGAGATTCCACCTAAACATGAGGAAGAACTTCCTGACTGTGAGAGCCGTTCAGCAGTGGAACTCTCTGCCCCGGAGTGTGGTGGAGGCTCCTTCTTTGGAAGGCTGGATGGCCATCTGTCAGGGGTGATTTGAATGCATATTCCTGCTTCTTGGCAGAATGGGGTTGGACTGGATGGCCCATGAGGTCTCTTCCAACTCTTTGATTCTATGATTCTATATAATACAGTAAATATATGTATAGATTCATGATAACTAATATGTCAATATAAATATGATAGGAAGATAGAAGTGGTATGAAACTGCATAAATGCTACAGTGTAATATAAATGTGATAGAAAAGCAGAAGTGGTGTCAGTCTGCATCAATGCTTTTGACAGCTGGCTGGCTTTGCTGTGAAAGCAGCAGCTTTCGCACGGATCCCGGAAGTTATGGGCGCGGCGCGTTTTCCCTTTCCTCTTTGAATCCTAGAGCGAGCCATCAAGACCAGGAAGGCGGGCTGCGAGAGGAGGGCGGGGAGGCGTCGTTGCTTTACTTCAGGGCGCATGCGCGCTCCCCGCCGTGACGTCACCACCCTCCGGTGCAGGCCTGCTCCTTCCCGCGCCGAGGATGCCGAACTTCTGCGCGGCTCCGAACTGCACCCGCAAGAGCACTTCCGCCGACCTGGCCTTCTTCCGCTTCCCCAGGGACCCCGTCCGGTCAGTTCAGGCAGGAAAACCGAGAAATGAGTTATTCCCCACTCTCCAAACCCGCATTCACACGTTACGATGCGTGTTTGGCAGGAAACACGCGTGTTAGGGGGAGGAAACTTAGTGGGGAAGGATCCCAAGGCGGAGGGAATGCAGAAAAGCTATTGCATTGGCCTTGACCTGGGTTCGGCTCCCGTATTCCCGTTACGTGTTTAAAGATGCGTGTTTGCTGGGGAAACACGCAAAATGGAGTTGGGGAGAAAGGAAATATTGGTTAATACCATTATTCAGAGCCCGACCTTGATTCATATATATCATCCCCATTCACACGTGACGGAGATACAGATGCGTGTTCGATGGGGAAACACGCAAAATGGAGTTAGGGAGAAAGAAAAGACTTGTTGATAGTGTTATTTAGCGCCCTGTCTTGATTCACACGTGATGGGGATGCAAATGCGTGTTTGCTGGGGAAACACTGAAAATGGAGTTAGGGAGAAAGAAAAGACTTGATACTGTGATTGAGCGCCCGACCCGGGTTCATGTATTCACACGTGACAGGGATGCAAATGCGTGTTTGCTGGGGAAACACTGAAAATGGAGTTAGGGAGAAGGAAAAGATTTGATACTGTTATTGAGCGCCCGACCCGGGTTCATGTATTCACACGTGACGGGATGCAAATGCGTGTTTGCTGGGGAAACACTGAAAATGGAGTTAGGGAGAAGGAAAAGATTTGATACTGTTATTGAGCGCCCGACCCGGGTTCATGTATTCACACGTGACGGAGATGCAAATGCGTGTTTGCTGGGGAAACACTGAAAATGGAGTTAGGGAGAAGGAAAAGACTTGATACTGTTATTGAGCGCCCGACCCGGGTTCATGTATTCACACGTGACAGGGATGCAAATGCGTGTTTGCTGGGGAAACACTGAAAATGGAGTTAGGGAGAAGGAAAAGATTTGATACTGTTATTGAGCGCCCGACCCGGGTTCATGTATTCACACGTGACGGAGATGCAAATGCGTGTTTGCTGGGGAAACACTGAAAATGGAGTTAGGGAGAAGGAAAAGACTTGATACTGTTATTGAGCGCCTGACCCGGATTCATGTATTCACACGTGACAGGGATGCATATGCGTATTTGCAAAGGAAACACTTGAGTTAGGGAAATGAGCAGCTTCAAATCTCCAGGGTGGAAAAAAGGAGGAAAGCAATTTAGGTGCTTTTCAATTTCTGACCTGGGTTCAGGTTTTCCTATTCGCACATTACGTGGCTGCAAACTAGAGTTTGGCAGGAAAACATATGAGATCATGACTTTGTCAATGTTTATTGTTTCCAAATGCTGGCTGAGATCTTTTGTCACGGCATCCAGACCACTGGGACCACCTAGATGGTTCAGGGGACTAAGGGCGGATCACAATGCACATATACATGGCAAACATTCAATGCCATAGACACACAACATATATAGACAGACACACAGAGGCTATTTAACTTTCCAGCTTCATGAGGGTATGTTTTTTGAATTCCGGCCACTAGGGGAGCTGTTGCTTCACCATCCACTTGTGACACCGACGGAGTACTTCCTCATTCTTTGCATGCTGCTGGAGAGTTTTATGGCATTGTAAATGAGTTAAATTAGCCTCCCCGCGTAAGCGGTACCTAAATTTCCTACTTGACAGATGCTACTGCTTTAAATTATGCTGTTTCTATTAATGGAGCAGGCCCAGCAAGAGGTCCTCAAGTTAAACAGGGTTTGATGTTGGTCAAGTTGTTGTTTTTTATATAATAATAATAATAATAATAATAATAAATACCAAAATTGCAATGTGGGTTGCCTTCCTCCCTGAAGGAAATGAGGAGGCAATTGGTGGGCGGGAGTATTCCTCAGGAGGTAAAATAATAATAATAATAATAATAATACTTTATTTATACCCTGCTACCATCTCCCCATGGGACTCGGTGCGGGTGAAGCCGAGCCCACATACAACAATACAAGCAATAACAATACAATGCAAAGCAATTAAAATAAATCTCATAACACAAAAAGCATAAACATTAAACAACATACAGTGCAAAATGGCAGGAATGAGGCAAAAATGTGTTTATTAATAATATAATAATATATATACATCTAATACTATAATGTAATACTATATAATACTATTAATAATAATACAATATTATACTTATATATTTCTATTACATGTAATATTACTAATATTACAATATAATGGTACAGTGTAATATAGTAATATATAATACTGATATTGTACTATGCTAATAATATAATATATTGTATGTATATATATCTTGTAAGCTGCTCTGAGTCCCCTTCGGGGTGAGAAGGGCGGCATAGAAATGTCGTAAATAAATAAACAAACGATCTTTTGGGCTGCAAAGGTCAACAGCAAGCTAGACAAATGGTCAGGAGCTTACTTCGACCCAGGCTGGCTTTGAACCTTTCAGTCAGTAGTGATTTTAATGCCACAACCAGCTGTGCCACAACCTGATGGTGTGTTTGTACTTCATTCTTCTTTCCCATTGAGCCGTGATTAAAACTGTCTGTGAACAGGTAATTTTTGTTACAGAGTTTAATGGGAAAAGGTTACCTTGACATTCAAATGCAGGTGGACAAATGCGTGACCCCCTTGGCTCTTTTTTTGCTCCGATTTACCCGTTTTAATGAGCGAAAACTCTCTCTCTCTTGCAGATGTCAGCGGTGGGTGGAGAACTGCCGAAGGGCCGACCTGGAAGATAAGACGCCCGACCAACTCAACAAGCATTACAGGCTCTGCGCAAATCATTTTGAGACTTCGATGATATGTAGAAGTGTAAGTGACCTATGCCATCTGACCAACTTCAAATCAAACTGGAACCAATAAAACCATCACGGCTACAATTAATGCAAATAAATTGCTTTCAGGCTAAATTGTGTAGGAAAGAGGGCCTACCTTGTGCTCTATCTATATTTGAAAATACATGTAACAGTTAGACTTGAGCTCGGATCCATTTTTAATTGTTTACTTCAGCCAATCTGGCTTCTTTGGTTTGTTTGGGTGCCCGTAACGGCAAGGCCTAGTCATCACAGTTTTCCATCTGTAACGGGACCACGTGGCAGTCAATCCTGGTTCCTCCTCCCCTATTCAGAATCACAGTTCAATCTTTTTGATTTTCCTTGATTTTTTTTATTTAGTGGGATTGACTGGGAGTTGGGGATGTGTGGGATGGGTGGGTGGGGTTACGCACATTTGGGGGCTTGGGAGGATCATCCTTTTAGCTTTTCCTCCCTCCTTCCTCTCCTTCAAATACGTCTAAAAGACAATAATAATTATTAATACACTTTATTTATATTCCTCTTTATCTCCACCGGAGGGTGTTGCATTCCAGGCAGGAAAAGCCCTCTGACTTTAAACACCACACAGATGAGTAAAAATAAAAGCAGTTTATTGAAGATATTTTAAAAGCGGTAGCAGTAAAAAGCAATCCACAAAAATAGGTATATCCAATTAGGTAGAAAGAAAAATGGAAACAAATAGTCCAGGAAATTAGTCCATCAGAGTTCATGAAAACAAATACTGACACCTCCAAGGAAAAACCCCAAAACTTGAACATGAATCAAACAAGGCATTAACACAGTAATCTACACAAGGCAAGGCTTCCATGGAGCTGGGACAAAGTCTTGACTCAGTTCCAACATTGCTTCGTCTGGCTACAGATTCTGTACTTGTCACTTTTATCCCCTAATCTACTCTATATCCCAAGAAGCCAGGAATGGATTTCTTTTTAGCCTTGAAGCTGTTATCAATCTCTCCCGCAGTCTAGCAGAGTGCTTGAGAGCTTGATTTGTCTTTCTTTGCTGATTGAAAGCACTTCTATCTGCAGGTGCTGAGCTTTCCTCAGGATCAAAGCCTTGGGAATTCTCTGGTAACAATTCAGGCCCAGGGAACATACCATCGTCCCCAATCCCTTCAGGAACATTCTCATCAGAAAAATCACTTTGAACAGGAATCCCATTGTCATTCTCTGCATCTAGAGCAAACTCATCATCAGAAACATGAACCTCATTGTCACTCCCAACATCCAGAGTACCCTGATCATTAGAGGGTAATCATTAGGAGAATCTTTTGTTGAGGGGTGATTAGCTGTTCCTGATTGTTTCCTCTCTGTTGTTTTGTTGTAATTTTAGAGGTTTTTAATACTGGTAGCCAGATTTTATTCATTTTCATGGTTTCTTCCTTTCTGTTGAAATTGTCCTCATGCTTATGGATTTCAATGGCTTCTCTGTGTAGTCTGATATGGTGGTTGTTAGAGTGGTGTAGCATTTCTGTGTTTTCAAATAATATGCTGTGTCAAGAAGCCACACCAAAAAACTGCCAGGCCATCAAATGCTAATCAAGGTGGTCAATTGAAACATTCACACCTAGCTCCAGCAGACAAGAGTACTTTGTCCCACCCTGGTCTTTCCACAGATATATAATCCCAATTTTCTTAGTTCCAACAGACCTCACAACCTCTGAGGATGCTTGCCATAGATGCAGGCGAAACGTCAAGAGAGAATGCCTCTAGAACATAGCCATATTGCCTGAAAAAACCTACAACAACCCAGTGATTCCGGCCATGAAAGCCTTCAACAATACATTGAACACATGTATTGTGGAACAGCTTTATCTGAAAAATTAACACACAATGCTTTTTCGTTTTCGTTGTTTTTTTGAGTGAAAAACATAGCTTGGGTTGTTAGTTGTATTGTGTCCAAATTTGGTGTCAATTCCTCCAGTGGTTTTTGAGTTCTGTTAATCCCACAAACGAACAGTACATTTTATTTATATAGATTCAAAAACATTTACCCTACTGGTGCTTCAATGTAATTTTCTTGGTATCTATTTTTATTTTGAAATTTACCTGTTGCAATCTGCATTTCACACCCTCAGCTTATACTCGAGAAAATAACGTTTTCACAGTTTTCTGTACTAAAAATTGATGCCGCGGCTTATATTCGGGCTGGCTTATATATGAATATATATGGTATGTGCTTTTATTTGGAAGCAAAATGTGTGTCTCCCCTTTTTTTCATGTTTTAGTCTTTTTGGAAGCGTACAAACCTGTGGGAGAATTGGTCTATGTTTGTGAACTTGGCCCCTGGCTCTGTTACAGTGGTTCAGGTATGCTCTATAACAGTGTTTCTCAACCTGGGGGTCGGGACTCCTGAGGGGGTCGTGAGAGGGTGTCAAAGGGGTCGCCAAAGACCATCAGAAAACATAGTATTTTCTGTTGGTCATTGGGATTCTGTGTGGGAAATTTGACCCAATTCTATTGTTAGTCGAGTTCAGAATGCTCTTTGATTGTAGGTGGACTGTAAATCCCAACAACTACAATTCCCAAATGTCAAGACCTATTTTCCCCAAACTCCACCAGTGTTCACATTTGGGCATATTGAGTATTTGTGCCAAGTTTGGTCCAGATCCATCATTGCATGAATCCACAGCACTCCTCAGGATATAGGTGAAATACAACTCCCAATCTCAAGGTCAATGCCTACAAAACCCTTCCAGTGTTTTCTGTTGGTCTTGGTAGTTCTGTGTGCCAAGTTCGGTTTAAATCGCATCGCTGGTGGAGTTCAGAATGCTCTCTGATTATACATGAACTATAAATCCCAGCAACTACAACTCCCAAATTACAAAATCAACCCCCCCCCCCCCCCCCCCCCCCCCCCCCCCCCCCCCCCCCCCCGCCCCAATCCCACTGGCATTCACATTAGGGCATATTGGGTATTTGTGCTCAATTTAGTAAAATGAGAGGTATCAAGTAGCAACGAAAACAATATTATGGTTGGGGGTCACCACAACATATGAAACTGCATTAAGGGGTCACGACATTAGCAAGGTTGAGAACCACTGCTCTATAAAGAGCAATATGGTTATGATTTTTGAGTCTTACTCACGTTACAAATGGACTCCTTTAACTGGAATGGCCATATCAAACAAAGTACATTTTCTGCGATTTATTATCTGAAGCTAATTGACTTGACTTTCCCTGCAATAGGAAGACATTTAAGCTCTTGCATTTTGTAGCAAACTCTGCCGTCTTCCATGCGTGCCTAACCCTGTGCTTTTAAGCCTCCCTGGACTGCTTGGAAATCAAATACATCGAGGTAGATTGGCGTTCTGGGACTTACTCGGCGTGTGCTTCTACAGAAAAGCGATGATGGGGCTCTTGTGCCGTCGAGCTTGGGGGCTATTAGTCTTAATGAAGGAGGGATGGACATGGCACCTTTCCCCCAAGGGATTGCTTCTTGCCCTCCTATAGGAAACTGGAACTCCCAAAAACCCAAAACGCTGTAAATAGCTCAAGATAAGTTTTATTGATCACAAAGTCATTTCTTCAAAGCAATGAGCTGGAAAACTTTAGAGGGGTGAAGGAAAACATACGTTACAGTCTCAATCAGTCCTGGGTCCAAGGGGTTTGAAGCTGAGAAGCCTCACCAAGTTTCCTCTTTCCTCAATGGCTGTGAATGCCGGAGCAAACCACAACCCCAGTTCAGATGGCCTATGTTTGAAGACTCAGGATCTTCCTCTGGTGCCAAAAGAACCGGCTTGAAGGCACTTGGGATCTCCTCAATGTTATCCAGGACGATCTGGACATAAAGCATGAGTCCCAAGGGTAAAAAACCTCAGAACTGGTGCTAAGAGGTAACTTAAATCAGGGTCCTTTAGAGTCAGGTCTCTTACTCATGTCCATCTGGTACAAACTCTGATGGCAGAATGAAAAGAAAAAGGAAGCTCTCTCCTCTTGCAGGAAGAGTTGGAGCCAAACAGTACTGATTGACAGCTACAAGCAACCAATCCATACAACTATACATAAGCAGGTTAAAAAGGGGCAGGATTAAGTATGATACAACAGTTTAAATCTTACAACTAACAGTTCTGTACATAGGTGGCGCCACTTGTGCCCTCACAGCTCTCCCTCTGGAAATACCGGGTTTCAGTGAAGAGTCTAGCCTGATACTCTGCGCCGTGAAATCCCATCTCTGAAATTGAATGGCATTTTATGGCCCCCAAATGTTTTTGAAAGTACATTTTGAATGGCCAGATGAATTAATTTGGATACAGGCTCCATAGAGGTTGCTGCTATTTCCCTTTCCTGGATTTGTCTAGCATTCAAAACAGGTGACAAAGAAAAGGCAGAGATACTCAGCACCTTCTTTGCCTCAGTCTTCTCCCAAAAGGTAAACAAGGCTCAGCTTGGGGAGGATGGAGCAGAGGATGCAGTAGGAGAAATGCAGCACAGCATAGGCAAAGAGGCAGAGCAGGAATATCTGGCTAATCTAAGTGAATTCAGGTCTCCAGGGCCAGATGAACTACATCCATAGGTATGAAACAGTGGTGCTTTTGTTGTATGTTCTGGCATGGCAAAATGGGGTTGAGCTAGATGGCCCTTGGGTCTCTTCCAACTCTGTGAGTCTATTTTACTCAATTATTATTATTACATTTATTATTTTACTCTATTTATTATTATTTCATTTATTATTTTACTTTATTATTATACTCCATTATTATTACATTATTATTTTACTTTATTATTATTGTTTTAATACATTTATTATTTTGCCCTATTTATTAATATATTTATTATTATACTCTATTATTATTTCATTTCTTATTTTACTTTATTATTGCTTTAATACATTTATTATTTTGCCTTATTTATTAATATATTTATTATACTCTTATTTCATTTATTATTTTACTTTATTATTATTGTTTTAATACATTTATTATTTTGCCCTGTTTATTAATACATTTATTATTATACTCTATTATTATTACATTCATTTTTACTCTATTATTATTTAATTTATTATTTTACTTTATTAATGTTTTAATACATTTAATATTTTGCCCCCCTCCCCCCCTTTTTTTTTGGTCGTGTCAGGAGCGACTTGAGAAAGTCTCTTCTGGTGTGAGAGAATTGGCTGTCTGCAAGGACATTTCCCAGGGGACGCCTGGATGTTTTGATGTTTTCTCATCCTTGTGGGAAGCTTCTCTCATGTCCCCGCATGGGGAGCTGGAGCTGACAGAGGGAGTTCATCCGTGTTCTCCCCGGATTCGAACCTCCAACCTATTTATTAATATATTTATTATTTTACTCTATTATTATTATATTTATTATTTTACTCCATTATTATTATTATTATTATTATTATTTTACTCTATTATTACATTTCCATTATTTTACTCTGTTTATTATTATTGGAAGGATATTTGGGATGTCCACGCTCTGGTTACATCCCGAATAGACTACTGCAACGCAGTCTACGTGGGGTTGCCTTTGAAGACTGTTCGGAAACTTCAACTACTCCAATGGGCATCCGCCAGGTTACTAACTGGAGCGACGTACAAGGAGCACAACACCCCACTGTTGTGCCAGCTCCACTGGCTGCTGGTCCACTTCTGAGCTGGTGTTTGAGTTATGTTAATCCCACAAACCAACATTACATTTTTATTTATATAGACTAGCCGTCCCCTGCCACGCGTTGCTGTGGCCCAGTCTGTATATAAGTATTTTGTGTGTGTATATATTTGTGTATATGTGTATACATTTGTGTTTCCATGTATATATGTCTGTGTGAGTGTGTGTGTGGTTTTGTGCATGCGTTGTAATGTATTTTTTTTTTTGGTTTTTTGGCTTTTTAAGTCTCTTCTGGTGTGTTTTTCAGTGTTTTTATGAGTGATGGTCACTCGTTGGCCTGATAGGTGTCCAAATTTGGTGTCAATTCATCCAGTGGTTTTTGGCTTATTTTAATCCCACAAACGAACATTACATTTTCATTTATATAGATTGACCCGTCGCTGCTGCATGTCCCACCGTTGGCTTCTACTCGAGTCAATATATTTCTCCACTTTTCTTGGTGGTAAAATTAGGTGCCCTGGCTTATATTCGGGTGGCTTATACTCGAGTATGTACAGCAATTGCTTTCAATTTGGCAGAGCTAAATTGTCCCGAGCTAACATAATGTAGATTTAACGTGGTGTGCTTTGAAGTGATGGCTAAGAGTTATATCAAAATAAAAAGTTAAGGTGTGAAAGCAGATGAAAGTCTCCTTCTTGGTGGTTTGCCAGTTGCCAGAGGGCAAATGGAGAGGATACGACGTGGATTTGCGAACTCCTCCTGCAGCCGCTCTCTTTCCCTGGGGGGGATATGTATTTCCCTCTGTAAGGAAAATCCGCTGACAGATGATAGAAGTGGCTCGTAAAGGACCGATTTTCCTCTCTTCTCTTTTGCAGAGCCCCTACAGGACAGTTTTACGAGACAACGCTGTGCCAACGATATTCGACCTCACGAGCCATTTGAACAATCCGCGCAGCAGGCACCGGAAAAGGATCAAAGAATTGGTAGGTTTCCTTCTGGGTGGAGATGCGGCAGCGAAAGAACTCTGGGCTTGAGAAGCTGGCCTAAACTCCAAAGGAACACGCAAACACTAGAATTATGATACCCAGAAGGCACAGTTCAATAGAAGCCTGATCCAAATCCTCCCTCCTATGACATCCCAGATTCTCTCCTACAGCATTTTGCCAAATTCCAGTTTTAATGCACATTTTGTCAGTTTGGTTTGGAATCTTATAATACCTTAGATGGAATGTAATCCTTTTTTTTTCCTTCTCCAGAGTGAAGAAGAAATACGAACGTTAAAGCAACGAAAGAGTAAGTGATCACTGATACCTTCAGAATATGTATTGTCGAAGGTTTTCATGGCGGGAATCACTGGGTTGTTGTAGGTTTTTTTGGGCTAAATGGCCATGTTCTAGAGGAATTCTCTCCTTATGTTTCGCCTGCATCTATGGCAAGCACCTCACTACCATGTGGATGCTTGCCATAGATGCAGGCGAAACGTCAGGAGAGATGCCTCTAGAACATGGCCATATAGCCCGAAAAATCCTACAACAACCCAAATGTAATAATAATAATAATTATTATTATAATTATAGAATAAAATAACGGAAATGTAATAATAGTAATAATAGAGTAAAATAATAAATGTAATAAAAAGAAAATAATAAATGCACTAATAAAAATAATAGAGTAAAATAGTAAATGGAGAAATAATAATAATAGAGTAAAATAATGTAAATGTAATAATAATAAAGTAAAATAATAATAAATGTAATAATAATAATAGAGTAAAATAATGTAATAATAATAATAATAAAGTAAAATAATAATAAATGTAATAAAAATAATAATAACAGTAAAAGAATAAATAACTTTGACTCAAGTGTAAGTCGATGGGGGCTTTTTCAGCCTTAAAAAGGGCTGAAAATCTCACCTTACAATTGAGTGTAATAACAACAACAACAACAATACTTTATTTGTACCCCGCTACCATCTCCCCAAGGGACTCGGTGCGGCTTACATGAGGCTGAGCCCAAATACAACAATACAAGCAATAAAACAACAATACAAGCAATTAAAATAAAACATAGACAATAAAATATGCAACAATTAACAATAAGACAACACACAATTAAAACTGTGGGAAGGCCAAATGTAAAGTTAAAATTGGAAGTAATGCCGGGGCATGGGCGAAAAGGTGATAGTGGCGTTTGTGGAAAACATACAAGCAGACCTAAAATGTAAAGTGCTTTGGAGGACAAAGTGCTATGGGAACATTATTCTGGGAAGGCACACTGGAACAACCACATCTTCAAACTCCTCCTAAAGACTGCCAGAGTTGGGGCCTGCCTGATGTCCTTAGGGAGTGAGTTCCAGAGTCGAGGGGCCACCACCAAAAAGGCCCTCTCTCTCGTCCCCACCAATCGCGCCTGCGATGCAGGTGGGATCGAGAGCAGGGCCTCTCCAGATGATCAAAGAGATTGTGTGGGTTCGTATACAGAGATGCGGTCACGTAGGTAGGCGGGTCCCAAACCGTATTACTACCAGTGAAATAAATTGAAATTAAAGTATAGGAGAAAAACACTAGCAACTAAAAAAACATGTATGAAAGTTTGTATGCAACTTCTGAAAAATGTTACACAAGAATGCTCTCAATTATTGATCTTTTTTTCCCTGGGCTTTGCTAAATTTAAGGATTGTGTATTGACGTTTTGGGCATTCCTATATTAATGTCTTACTGAATATTTTGATGCCTCTTCTTCTAGCTGATGAACATTTTGAGCAGGAAAAAGCGAACCAAGAGCCCGTGGACAACGACATCCCAAACCCGGCTTCTGTGGAAGGAGGAGATGAGCCCGCCGAGGACGACAACCCTTTAACGCAAGAAGAGAAAGAAAACAAAGACTACCTGAAATCCTTATTTGAAATCCTAATCCTGATGGGCAAACAAAACATCCCTTTGGATGGCCACAACGCGGACGCCCTCCCCAAAGGCATCTTCACGCCGGACAACTTCCAGGCCCTCTTGGACTTCAGGATAAACTCTGGAGACGAGGTCTTGAGGAAGCGGTTTGAGACGATGGCCGTGAACCTGGCTTACTGCTCCAAGATGGACCAGAAGCAAATGCTGGAGATCTGTGAGAACTGCGTGCGCGAGGAGACCCTCCGGGAAGTCAGGGATTCCCACTTCTTCTCCGTCGTCACGGATGAGCTGGTGGACCTCGCCGGCGAGGAGCACTTGCCGATACTCGTGAGGTTCGTCGACGACTGTCACAACTTGCGAGAGGAATTCATTGGCTTCCTGCCATACGAGGCCGATCCCGAAATCCTAGCCGTGAAGTTCCATACGGCGATTACTGAAAAATGGGGTTTGAACATGGAATATTGCCGGGGCCAGGCTTACATTGTCTCCAGCGGCATTGCTTCCAAAATGAAGACCGTGGCGACAAGGATCTTGGAAAAATACCCCCAAGCTGTATATACTTTGTCCGCTTCGTGCGCCTTGAACATCTGGTTGGCCAAGTCGATTCCTGTGACGGGAGTCTCCGTGGCACTCGGAACGATAGAGGAGGTTTGCTCGTTCTTTCGCCAGTCGCTTCAGCTGATGGGGGACTTGGACAACGTCATCTCGCTCCTCTTCCAAAACAGCGAGGAGAAAGGGAACGAATTGAAGGAGATTGTCCGCTCCGACTGGACGGGGCGACACGATACCTTTGAGATCGTGGTGGACCTCCTGCAGGCCTTTGTGATGTGCCTGGACGCCATCAATGACGCCGCCGTCCGGTGGAGCAGCTCCGTTTCCGGCCAAGCGTACATCCTTTCCACGGCGTTGGCGGAGTTCGACTTCATTGCGACGGTGGTGATCATCAAGAACATCCTCTCCTTCACCAGAGCCTTCGGGAAGAACCTCCAGGGTCAAACGTCGGACGTCTTCTTCGCCGCCAGCAGTTTGACGGCCGTGTTGCATTCCTTGAACGAGGTCATGGAGAACATTGAGGTGTACCACGAATTCTGGTTTGAGGAGGCCACCAACTTGGCTATGAAGCTGGACATCCCTGTCAAGCTGCCGGGGAAATTTTGCCGAGCCCAACAAGGGAATTTGGACTCTGAGATGACGCCGGAAAACTACTACAAAGAAGCACTTAGCATCCCGACCGTAGAGCACATCATCCAGGAACTGAAGGACATCTTTTCGGAGCAGCATCTTCGAGCGCTGAAGTGTTTGTCTTTAGTGCCCTCGGTGATGGGGCAGCTCAAATTCAATACGTCCGAGGAACATCACGCCGACATGTACAAAAACGACCTCACCAATCCAGACACGTTGTCCGCGGAACTCCACTGCTGGAGAATCAAGTGGAAACACAGAGGGAAGGATATCGAGCTGCCCACCACCATTTACGAAACCCTTCACCTCCCCGACATCAAGTTCTTCCCCAATGTCTACGCCTTGCTCAAAGTCCTCTGCATCCTGCCCGTCATGAAGGTGGAGAACGAAAAGTTCGAAATCGGGCGAAGGCGCCTCAAGGCCTACTTGAAGAACACGTTGACTGAACAGAGGTCGAGCAACCTCGCCTTGCTGAACATCAACTTTGACATTAAGCACGACTTGGATCTAATGGTGGACACCTACATCAAACTGTATCCCGACAAAGCAAAGAATTCCGAAGAATTCATTCCGCCCTCGGAAGGAGTGGAAGAGACTTAACGGAATTGGAGGGGAAGGGGACCCGAACCCTTGCTTCTGTTTTTGGATACTTGTTTTGCCTTGACCAGTTTGTATAAACCCGGAGGACTAAGCAATCATTTCAAAACTCCTTCTGGGTTGCTGTGAGTTTTCCAGGCTGTATTGCCAACTTCCAGAAGCATTCTCTTCTGACATTTCGCCCACATCTATGACTAGTTGTGAAGTCTATTGGAAACTTGGCAAGTGGAATATATATATATCTGTGGAATAATGTCCAGGGAGGAAGAAAAAAACTCTTGTCTGTTGGAGACAAGTGTGAATGCTGCAACTGGCCACCTGGATTAGCATTGAATGGCCTTGCAGCTTCAAGGTCTAGCTGCTTACTGCCTGGGGGAATCCTTTGTCGGGAGAAAATTAGCTGGCTTCTTTTGTTGGGAGGTGATTAGCTAGCCCTGTTCGTATCTTAGCTCAACAAATATCCCACTTATACAGAAAATAGAAAATAATAGAATTCAACGTATAATTGTATGCACTTGTTATACTGTTCACAGTGATCACAAACAATATTATAGTTTTTGTAGTCACTTTGAAATAATAATAATAATAATAATGATATGTTGTGAGGTCTATTGGAAACTTGGCAAGTGGAAAGTATATATGTGTGTGTGTGTGTGTGTGTGTGTGTGTGTGTGTGTGTGTGTGGAAAATATATCTGTGGAATAATGTCCAGGGAGGAAGAAAGAACTCTTGTCTATTGGAGACAGGTGTGAATGTTGCAACTGGCCACCTTGATTATCATTGAATGGCCTTGCAGCTTCAAAGCTTGGCTGGTTGCTGCCTGGGGGAATCCTTTGTTGGGAGGTGATTAGCTGTCCCTGATTGTATCTTAGCTCAGCAAATATCCCACTTATACAGAAAATAGAAAACAATAGAATTCAACGATTAATTTTATACACTGTATTGTCGAAGGCTTTCATGGCCAAAATCACTGGGTTGTTGTAGGTTTTGTTCGGGCTATATGGCCATGTTCTAGAGGCATTTCTCCTGACGTTTCGCCTGCATCTATGGCAAGCATCCTCACACCTCTGAGGATGCTTGCCATAGATGCAGGCGAAATGTCAGAAGAGAATGCCTCTAGACATGGCCATATAGCCCGAAAAAACCTACAACAACCCAATTGTATACACTTCTTATACTGTTCAAATTCACAGTGATCACAAACAATATTATATGAGTTTTGGGCTATATGGCCATGTTCTAGAGGCATTCTCTCCTGACATTTCGCCTACATCTATGGTAACATCCTCAGTACCTCTGAGGATGCTTGCCATAGATGCAGGCGAAACGTCAGGAGAGAATGCCTCTAGAACATGGCCATATAGCCCGAAAAAAACCTACAACAACCAAAGTTCTTCTTATACTGTTCAAATTCACAGTGATCACAAACAATATTATATGAGTTTTGGGCTATATGGCCATGTTCTAGAGGCATTCTCTCCTGACATTTCGCCTACATCTATGGTAAGCATCCTCAGTACCTCTGAGGATGCTTGCCATAGATGCAGGCGAAACGTCAGGAGAGAATGCCTCTAGAACATGGCCATATAGCCCGAACAAAACCTACAACAACCCAATTGTATACACTTCTTATACTGTTCCAATTCACAGTAATCACAAACAATATGAGTTTTTGTACAGTCACTTTGAAATAATAATAAATAATAATAATAATAATAATAATAATAAACTTTATTTATACCCCGCCACCATCTCCCCCAACGGGGCCAAGCCCGGACAACAAATTATAATATAAAAATACAAATTGCAATAAAGTAAACAACATAACAATGAAGTATATAACATCAAAGCATATAAACAATCTACACAAAACATAGAAACCAAACATAATGGTATCAACGCAGTGTCTTCTTATGTTGAGTTGCGTATGAATCAGCCGTCCACGACTGGTTTCGGCCTTTAGTCCTCTGGAGGACTAAAATTATTATACACATCAACATTTGCTGCATATATATACATATATATATATATATATAGAACATCATATACTGAAATACATTTGAAGATACTTGCAAAGTTATAAACTTAGCACTTATTATATACATCAACATTTGTTGCAAATATATCCATTAAACATCATATGTAAAAGCACATTTACATATTTGGGCAAAACATTCATTTTTAGTATATGTAACTTTCAAATATTTACAGCCCTGATTGTATCTTGTTAGGAATTATCCTGTTTTTGAGTGTTGTTCTTTAATAATAAATAATCATCATCTTTATTTCTACCCCGCCACCATCTCCCCATCTCCAAGCCCGGACAACATAATACAGCAATAAAATCAGAAAATATACAGCAAACAACAACATCATCAAAATAACATTTTAAAAATTCATAAGATAAACATTCTAATAAACACAATCACAGTAAGGATGACAATGGGCGGGCCACATATTCAGGATAACAAACTCTAATGAGATATAGTTTATTTACTGTTTTGATTTTAGAGTTTTTTTAAATACTGGTAATTCAGCTAATTTCCTTCTAACAAAGGATTCCCCCAGGCAGTAAGCAGCTAGACCTTGAAGCTGCAAGGCCATTCAGTGCTAATCAAGCTGGCGAACTGCAACATTTGCATGTGCCTCAAACAGAGAAGAGTTCTTTCTCCCACCCTGGACATTCCACAGATATATATTTTCCTAGTTTTCAATGAACCTCACAACCTTTGAGGATGCCTGCCATAGATGCAGACGAAACGTCAGGAGAGAATGCTTCTGGAACATGGCTACACAGCCTGGGAAACTCACAACAAGCCAGTGATTCTGGCCATGAAAACCTTTGACAATGTTTGAATTGGATGGTTCTCAAACTCTTGACATCCTTTATATGACCAGAATAACTTTCTACAGAGAACTTTGTGGAGTTTCAACAAAATTCACAACCCACATAAGCACATCCGACTCATTTCAAAAGGTTCTTCTTGGCTCTGTCAAGGGGATTTTTGCTCTTCGGTTTGGAGGCAACTTAGGAGAACCCTCTTATTTGTCCATTGCACCCCTGCTTGGTGGCCATTTTTGAACTTCTGCTTTTATGAATGAATGAGAACTTCTTTCAGAAATTAAGCTCTCCTGTCCTTGTATTATAAAACAATAAAAACAAAAGTGACTTGCAGGGAACTTCCTGAACTCTGCTCAGCTGTAGACCTCTATGTAAGTATTGAGTAGCTTCCCTCTTGCCTTCGAGACAGGAATTGTCAACTTAAATCTGGCAGAAAATAAGAGGATGTGTTTTTGTTTGTCTTGTTTATTATTGGTTTTGTATGTAGACGTCGTACGGACAAGTTTTATTTCTGCCGATATTTTTGAGGAAATGCTTTTGTATAGTTTTATTTCCATGAAGAATAAAATGTGAATTTCTTAGTTTTTTTATCCTTATTATCTGTGACTTGTGACTGCCGAACAGTGTTGTGTGTTTTGAAATAGTTTGTGAAACAAAGGGGTTTGTTTATTTATTTATTTACAGTATTTATATTCCGCCCTTCTCAGGGCGGATGACAATGCACATATACATGGCAATGCCATTAGACATACAACATATATAGACACAGATGCAATTTAACATTCCAGCTTTCCGGCTTCATGAGGTTATGCTCCATTCCAGCCACAGGGGGAGCTGTTGCTTCACTGTCCACTTGTGACACCGTGTCCTTAATGGAGTACTTCCACATTCTTATGCACGCTACTGGAAGGTTTTATGGTGTCGTAAATTAGTTAAATTAGCCTCCCCACATAAAACGGTACCTAAATTTCCTATTTGACAGATGCAACTGACTTTTGGGCTATGTAGGTCAACAGCAAGCTAGACTTAAAGGTTGGGAGCTTACTCTGACCCAGGCTTCCTCATTCTTGTTCACGCTGCTAGAAGGTTTTATGGGCAGATCACAATGCACATATACATGGCAAACATTCAATGCCATTAGACATACAACATATGTAGACAGACACAGAGACAATTTACCACTCCAGCTTTTCCGGCTTCATGAGGGTATGCTCAATTCCAGCCACAGGGGGAGCTGTTGCTTCACTGTCCATTTATGACACCGAGTCCTTGATGGAGTACTTCCTCATTCTTATGCACGCTGCTGGAAGGTTTTATGGTGTCATAAATTAGTTAAATTAGCCTCCACGCATAAAACGGTACCGAAATTTCCTATTTGACATATGCAACTGACTTTCAGGCTGCATGGGTCAACAGCAAGCTAGACTTAATGGTCGGGAGCTTACTCTGACCCAGTCTTCCTCATTTAATTATTTATTTCTGGTATTTATATCCCGTCTTTTCTCTACCCAAAAAGGGGGGCTCAGGACGGCTTACATAGGCAGCAATTCAATGCAGTTACATGAACAATTAATACAATAACCATTAAACAAACCATCAAACCATTAAAATATATAAAATATGTAAGCCATTAATTAAAAAATATAAAAACATTTGTTACCAAATAGAATCATATCCTCATGTAAATCGCCTTTCCAATCCATTTCCACTAAAGTGCTAATTTATGTCTGCTGACCGAAAGCCTGGTCCCATAGCCATGATTTTACTTTCTTCCTGAAAGCCAGGAGGGATGGGATTGATTGTATCTCGCTCGGAAGCACGTTCCACAGGTGGGGGGCCACCACCGAGAAGGCCCTGTCTCTCATCCCCACCAGCTGCATTTGTGATATTGGTGGGAGCGAGAGCAGGGCCTCCCTGGATGATCTTAAGTTACGAGGTGGGACGTAGAGGCAGATGCGTTCGGACAAGTAAACCTTGCGCACGCTGCTAGGTTTTATGGGCAGATCACATTAGTGATCACATTAGTGAGGTCTCCCATGAACTTCTTTCAAACCAACTAGTAAAATGTGGGCTAGGTTAAACTACAATGAGGTGGATCTGGAATTGGATAAATTAATGAACCCAGAGGGTGATTCTCCCCAATGCGCCCTCTTCATCCTGGAAAGAAGTGACGAGTGGAGTGCCATCAGGAGGGTTCCGTCCTGGGCTGATCCTGTTCAACATCTTCATTAGGGACTTAGATGAAGGGTTAGGAGGCAGGATCATCAAATTTGCAGATGGGACCAAATTGGGAGGGAGAGCCAATACTCCAGAAAACAGGAGCAGAATTCAAAACAATCTGAACAGATTCGAGAGATGAGCCAAAACTAACACAGTGAAGTTCAACAGTGCCAAATGCAAGATACTCTACTTAGGCAGAAAAAATGAAATGCAAAGATACAGAATGGGGGACGAGGCCTGGCTCATGTGAAAAAGATATTGGAGTCCTCTCGAACAAGTTAAACATGAGCCAACAATGTGATGCGGCGGCAAAAAAAGCTAATGGGATTTTGGCCTGCATCAATAGGAGTCTAGTGTTTACATCTTAAACATGTGTTGTTGTTGTTCATTCGTTCAGTCGTCTCCGACTCTTCGTGACCTCATGGACCAGCCCACGCCAGAGCTCCCTGTCGGCCGCTACCACCCCCAGCTCCCTAAAGGTCAGTCCAGTCACTTCAAGGATGCCATCC